CCTTGTTCTAGTTCATCATCACTTAATTCTCTAGTTAACGCGCGAGACATCCGTAATTGAGATTTGACAAGACACATGATTCCAAATATAATTCAAAGCATACTTAGGATGAGAAAGGACACCGATGAATTCAACAACATCGGTTACTTTTAGAGAATCATCTTTTTCATAAAACTATAGAATATATATTTCAATTAGGATGTTCCGGTTTTGTAATATAAGAAATGATTGATACGTTACTTTTACTATAGCAGCCACGTGATCTTCATTGGGAAATGGAAATTTTGATGCGACTTTTTTAAATCCATTCTCGCTCTTACTACTGTCTAAATGCATATTCGCCGTCGATCTCACAATTTCTATTAAAATAAATCTTTAGAAATACTCAGTAAAAGTCGTTATTGCACCAGAAATATAACAAAAACCTTCGATGTCAGTTCCTGTTTCGCTAAACGACGGACACTCCTGCCTATAAGCGTAGAATTCAAGTCAAGAAGTAACAAATTGAAACGAAGGAATTATTGACAAATATTAAGATCAAATTGGCAGGATATCTGTTTAGCCCATTGAGTTTCCCCAGGAACAGATACGCAATAATATAAATATCTCTCATCAAATTTATTGGAATGAATATTCGGATCGAAGTCAAACATTACATCCTACATGAATCAGAAATGTGAGATTTAATCAAGAGACGAAGAATAGTTATCGATTAATCTGTCTTTTAATAACCGTATCCATATCGTCCGAATACTTGTTGTATTTCCATTTCTGTATTATAAATTACCCGTATGAGCGTATTTTTTTACGTTTAATGGAGAAAAAATTTATGGTTAGAGATAATATAAAACGTACCTTGTTACCCTTATGATCCGATGTTTCGTAAAAGCTTACAAACATTTCGTGACCAAATCCCGTGTTCTGAATCATGGCTCGAAAGCGAACAAGCGAATGATGTGGAATATCGTATACGGAGGTATCATTTAAGGAAGGTATCTGTGTATACAGAATATTAATACTTTTGCGACGTTGAGAATTTAACTATGTTAAATCAAACCTCAAGCACGCTTTCTTCAGTTGAGAAAATGGTTTGAAAATATGTTGGTATGTGTCTTGTCAAATCTCAATTACGGATGTCTCGCGCGTTAACTAGAGAATTAAGTGATGATGAACTAGAACAAGG